TAGACTATGGAATAGACCATAGACTAGACTATAGACTAGATTATAGACTAGACTATAGACTAGACTATAGACTAGACTATAGACTAGACTATAGACTAGACTATAGACTAGACTATAGACTAGACTATAGACTAGACTATAGACTAGACTATAGACTAGACTATAGACTAGACTATAGACTAGACTATAGACTAGACTATAGACTAGACTATAGACTAGACTATAGACTAGACTATAGACTAGACTATAGACTAACTATAGACTAGACTATAGACTAGACTATAGACTAGACTATAGACTAGACTATAGACTAGACTATAGACTAGACTATAGACTAGACTATAGACTAGGACTATAGACTAGACTATAGACTAGACTATGACTAGACTAGACTATAGACTAGACTATAGACTAGACTATAGACTAGAACTATAGACTAGACTATAGACTAGACTATAGACTAGACTATAGACTAGACTAGACTAGACTATAGACTAGACTAGATAGACTATAGACTAGACTATAGACTAGACTATAGACTAGACTATAGACTAGACTATAGATAGACTATAGACTAGACGATAGACAGACTAAGACTAGACTATAGACTAGACTATAGACTAGACTATAGACTAGAAACTAGAATAGACTATAGACTAGACTATAGACTAGACTATAGACTAGACTATAGACTAGACTATAGACTAGACTATAGACTAGAACTATAGACTAGACTATAGACTAGACTATAGACTAGACTATAGACTGACTATAGACAGACTATAGCTATACTATAGACTAGACTATAGACTAGACTATAGACGAGACTATAGACTAGACTATAGACTAGACTATATAGACTAGACTATAGACTATACTATAGACGACTATAGACTAGACTATAGACTATACTATAGACTAGACTATAGACTAGACTATAGACAAGACTATAGACTAGACTATAGACTAGACTATAGACTAGACTATAGACTAGACTATAGACTAGACTATAGACTAGACTATAGACTAGACTATAGACTAGACTATAGACTAGACTATAGACTAGACTATAGACTAGACTATAGACTAGACTATAGACTAGACTATAGACTAGACTATAGACAAGACTATAGACTAGACTATAGACTAGACTATAGACTAGACTATAGACTAGACTATAGACTAGACTATAGACTAACTATAGACTAGACTATAGACTAGACTATAGACTAGACTATAGACTAGACTATAGACTAGACTATAGACTAGACTATAGACTAGACTATAGACTAGACTATAGACTAGACTATAGACTAGACTAGACTATAATCCAGTCTATAGTCCAAACTATAGACTATACTATAGTCAAGACAATATTCAGACTATAAACTAGACTATAGTCCAGACCATTGTTGGTAACTTGTTCATTCTTGTGCAGACAGCCTTCCTATGTTTTGACATAGTGGCGATTTGCTTATATCAACTGCTCTTTTGTTTTCTATATATGTGTGTATATTGACCAATATATTTCGTAAAATATCAGAAAAACAAAGAGATTATCTTTAGTAATGGTAACTCATCGTATGCTTGATATAATAAAGAAAGAATAATTCATTATACTTTTTGCTACAAAAAAAAAAAAAAAAAAAAAAAAAATAATAAAAAAACAATAGCAAGGAATCATGTGTTTGTATAGGAGAATACTCATTCACACAGTGAACTCTCTATGGTAGACGGTTATTACTCCTAAAAGTATGCTGTTGTGAAAAAAGTCATTGTTTGGAGGCAAAAATATAGGTTAAATTCTTTTTCCAAAAATCTTTGAATAAAAACCTTATCAATATCATCAATATGTTGTTATTTGTATCTTATCTTTTTGCTACAAGTTTTATTCACTTGTTTATTTAAATATTTCATTCTTTTGTTATTTTTTCATCATTTTATGGATTTTCTTTTAATTACTTTAAAAAAGTCTCATTCCTCTTTAGTTGCATACAATTTTCTTGTTTTAATATTAATCTTTTAAAGTTTCTTAGCAGCTTGAGAAATGAATCAAAACATTTTTGTAATTAAGCACGTTTTTTTTTTGAAATTTTATGGAAAAAATCTTTTCTAAAATTTATGATTTGTGGCTTTAGAAGATTTTATGGCCTTAAATAAAAAAAGTTTTTATACTAAAAAAAAATCATTAAATATGTTTGTATAAACATTGTTTAAGATTTTAAACATTATGAATATTTGGAGAACTATATGTTTTTGCTAGAACCAAGAAAAAATACTTGAATTAAACATTGCTCATCTTTATATTATTGAAAACAAAACAACAAAAATGATATAAAACATATGAAGACAAAAATTTTATTTGCTAATTTTAACAAAAAAAAAAAAAAAAAAAAAATATATAAAAAATTTTGATACAATTTTTGAGTGTAAATTAATGAAATTATAACTATAAGTCTAGACTATAGTCTGTATAATAATATACATATTCTATATTTTGGACTATTGATATAGTCTAGTCTATAGTCTAGTCTATAGTCAAGTCTATAGTCAAGTCTATAGTCTAGTCTATAGCCTAGTCTATAGTCTAGTCTATAGTCTAGTCTATAGTCTAGTCTATAGTCTAGTCAGTCTAGTCTATAGTCTAGTCTATAGTCTAGTCTATAGTCTAGTCTATAGTCTAGTCTACATTCTAGTCTACAGTCTAGTCTATAGTCTAGTCTATAGTCTAGTCTATAGTCTAGTCTATAGTCTAGTCTATAGTCTAGTCTATAGTCTAGTCTATATTCTAGTCTATAGTCTAGTCTATAGTCTAGTCTATAGTCTAGTCTATAGTCTAGTCTATAGTCTAGTCTATAGTCTAGTCTATAGTCTAGTCTATAGTCTAGTCTATAGTCTAGTCTATAGTCTAGTCTATAGTCTAGTCTATAGTCTAGTCTATAGTCTAGTCTATAGTCTAGTCTATAGTCTAGTCTATAGTCTAGTCTAGTCTAGTCTAGTCTAGTATAGTCTAGTCTATAGTCTAGTCTAGTAGTCTAGATAGTCTAGTCTAGTCTATCGTCTAGTCTATAGTCTAGTCTATAGTCTAGTCTATAGTCTAGTCTATAGTCTAGTCTATAGTCTAGTCTATAGTCTAGTCTATAGTCTAGTCTATAGTCTAGTCTATAGTCTAGTCTATAGTCTAGTCTATAGTCTAGTCTATAGTCTAGTCTATAGTCTAGTCTACAGTCTAGTCTATAGTCTAGTCTATAGTCTAGTCTATAGTCTAGTCTATAGTCTAGTCTATAGTCTAGTCTATAGTCTAGTCTATAGTCTAGTCTATAGTCTAGTCTATAGTCTAGTCTATAGTCTAGTCTATAGTCTAGTCTATAGTCTAGTCTATAGTCTAGTCTATAGTCTAGTCTATAGTCTAGTCTATAGTCTAGTCTATAGTCTAGTCTATAGTCTAGTCTATAGTCTAGTCTATAGTCTAGTCTATAGTCTAGTCTATAGTCTAGTCTATAGTCTAGTCTATAGTCTAGTCTATAGTCTAGTCTATAGTCTAGTCTATAGTCTAGTCTATAGTCTAGTCTATAGTGTAGTCTATAGTTTGTCTATAGTCTAGTCTATAGTCTAGTCTATAGTCTAGTCTATAGTCTAGTCTATAGTCTAGTCTATAGTCTAGTCTATAGTCTAGTCGATAGTCTAGTCAATAGTCTAGTCTATAGTCTAGTCTATAGTCTAGTCTATAGTCTAGTCTATAGTCTAGTCTATAGTCTAGTCTATAGTCTAGTCTATAGTCTAGTCTATAGTCTAGTATAGTCTAGTCTATAGTCTAGTCTATAGTCTAGTCTATAGTCTAGTCTATAGTCTAGTCTATAGTCTAGTCTATAGTCTAGTCTATAGTCTAGTCTATAGTCTCTAGTCTATAGTCTAGTCTATAGTCTAGTCTATAGTCTAGTCTATAGTCTAGTCTATAGTCTAGTCTATAGTCTAGTCTATAGTCTAGTCTATAGTCTAGTCTATAGTCTAGTCTATAGTCTAGTCTATAGTCTAGTCTATAGTCTAGTCTAGAGTCTAGTCTATAGTCTAGTCTATAGTCTAGTCTATAGTCAGTCTATAGTCTAGTCTATAGTCTAGTCTATAGTCTAGTCTATAGTCTAGTCTATAGTCTAGTATAGTCTAGTCTATAGTCTAGTCTATAGTCTAGTCTAAAGTCTAGTCTATAGTCTAGTCTATAGTCTAGTCTATAGTCTAGTCTATAGTCTAGTCTATAGTCTAGTCTATAGTCTAGTCTATAGTCTAGTCTATAGTCTAGTCTATAGTCTAGTCTATAGTCTAGTCTATAGTCTAGTCTATAGTCTAGTCTATAGTCTAGTCTAAAGTCTAGTCTATAGTCTAGTCTATAGTCTAGTCTATAGTCTAGTATTGTCTAGTCTATATTCTAGTCTATAGTCTAGTCTATAGTCTAGTCTAGTCTATAGTCTAGTCTATAGTCTAGGCTATAGTCTAGTCTATAGTCTAGTCTATAAGGACCTTAAATTTGTTTTCTAATATCCGTATCCTGAAATCGTCCTTCTCCCCATTAAAACACCCCCCCCAAAGCAATGAGATAATCTAATTTCACTTGCAGCCTTTAAGGATATCCTTTTTAAATGTTTAATTCTCTTGCAAATGATGAAGTGTATACAGCATGTGCAACTTGGTAAATGAGTAGTTGTAACATAATAATGCATAATTGCCTTGAAATTATATGTTTTCCCAGATGGCAACTTAAGAACGATACGATAATAATAAAATACATAATTTTCAACTCTTAAGCAAAAGTGCATTTAAACAGCAATAAATAGAAACAAATACATAAATTGTACAGAGTCTGAAACTAAATGCAAGAGCAGGCATAACAATTAATTAAAGTTAATTTGTTTAGTAAATTTTATTATTAGCAACTTTAGCTGCCGGTAGAAGAAAAAGAAAATTTTAAATTTTCAATTTAATTTCTTTTGTTTGTATTTACACAGGTGGCATAAACTTTGTTAACATTTCATAATTTACGGGCGGCAGTGGCTCTGTTATTGTTGGCCATAAATACCATAGAATTAGCCAAGGCACTGTTGCCACTGCCGGCTAATATAAATGATGCCGGAGGAGGGGGAGGAGGAGCTAGTAACAGTGGCAATAACGGATATGAAAACAATTACCCAGGAAACGGAAGTGAAAGTAATTTGCCTCAACAACAACAACAGCACGAGCAGACATTTATGAACACTGAACCGGATTTTATAATTGTTGTTATTGGTTTTGCCTCTCTGGCCAATGCCTTGGCCGCTTTGATTTTAACCATCATGTTAATTTGGTTCATCGTGTGGTCGAATTGAAAAAATCTCTAGGTAAGTGTAATAAAATTTTTAAATAATTGTTGTTGTTTTTTTCATGTGTGTTTCTTGTTTTTGTTTTTCTAGAATTTTTATACATCAGCAGCACATTGTCGGTGTTAATTTTCGTTTTACGTATTTATGAATTGGCGGAAATTGTTTACTATGATTCTCTGATGGCCTTGGAATCTATTATACAGGCCTCATCGGCTTTATGTTTATTACTATTGGCCATTATAGATGGTTTTACCGTTTACAAAGAGGTAAGTTTTAAACTTTATAAAATTTTAAATTGTATTTTACAAAGGAGGCGTATGAGTGATATTAATTACAAACTAAAATCAAGAATAAGAATTTTCAAAGAAAATTGTAAAATTAATTTACTTTTATAATTTTTAAACAAGTATTTCACAAAATTCTCTTAACATATAAAATTTTAGTTCTTTTTGTTTGTTTGTAACACTTTTCATGTCAATTTATTTTCAAATACATTTCTACTAAATAATTCATTATTAAAACAGCATGAAACTGTCCCAAAAAATGAACTATTTATTAACAACTTTATCATTCAAATATATTTCTAAATAAAACTGCAAAAATAAAAAAACGTTTGAAAATATTTTTTAAACGAATTGTAAAAACCCATTTTTAACTGAATGATAAGTACAATTCATAAAAAACACACACATAGACGAAAAAAAGAAACATAACTATTTTATATGTATATTTTCAAATAAAATCCTTTTTATGAAAACAGTGGGTGAGAAAAAAATGTCTATAGACTAGACTATAGACCAGACTAAAGACTATAGTATAGACTAGACTACAGACTAGACTATAGAGCAGACTATAGACTGAACTATAGACTAAACTATAGACTAGACTATAGACTAGAATATAGACAAGACTAGACTATAGACTAGACTATAAACTAGACTATAGACTAGACTATAAACTAGACTATAGACTAGACTATAGACCAGACTATAGACTAGACTATAGACTAGACTATAGACTAGACTATAGACTAGACTATAGACTTGACTATAGACTAGACTATAGACTAGACTATAGACTAGACTATAGACTAGACTATAGACTAGACTATAGACTAGACTATAGACTAGACTATAGACTAGACTATAGACTAGACTATAGACTAGACTATAGACAAGACTATAGACTAGACTATAGAATAGACTATAGACTAGATTATAGACTAGACTATAGACAAGACTATAGACTAGACTATAGACTAGACTATAGACTAGACTATAGACTAGACTATAGACTAGACTATAGACTAGACTATAGACTAGACTATAGACTAGACTATAGACTAGACTAGACTAGACTATAGACTAGACTATAGACTAGACTATAGACTAGACTATAGACTAGACTATAGACTAGACTATAGACTGGACTATAGACTAGACTATAGACTAGACTATAGACTAGACTATAGACTAGACTATAGAATAGACTATAGACTAGACTATAGACTAGACTATAGACTAGACTATAGACTAGACTATAGACTAAACTATAGACTAGACTATAGCCTAGACTATAGACTAGACTATAGACTAGACTATAGCCTAGACTATAGACTAGACTATAGACTAGACTATAGACTAGACTATAGACTAGACTATAGACTAGACTATAGACTAGACTATAGACTAGACTATAGACTAGACTATAGACTAGACTATAGACTAGACTATAGACTAGACTATAGACTAGACTATAGACTAGACTAGACTATAGACTAGACTATAGACTGGACTATAGACTAGACTATAGACTAGACTATAGACTAGACTAGACTATAGACTAGACTATAGACTAGACTATAGACTAGACTATACTAGACTATAGACTAGACTATAGACTAGACTAGACTATAGACTAGACTATAGACTAGACTATAGACTAGACTATAGACTAGACTAGACTAGACTATAGACTAGACTATAGACTAGACTATAGACTAGACTATAGACTAGACTATAGACTAGACTATAGACTAGACTATAGACTAGACTATAGACTAGACTATAGACTAGACTATAGACTAGACTATAGACTAGACTATAGACTAGACTATAGACTAGACTATAGACTAGACTATAGACTAGACTATAGACTAGACTATAGACTAGACTATAGACTAGACTATAGACTAGACTATAGACTAGACTATAGACTAGACTATAGACTAGACTATAGACTAGACTATAGACTAGACTATAGACTAGACTATAGACTAGACTATAGACTAGACTATAGACTAGACTATAGACTAGACTATAGACTAGATTATAGACTAGACTATAGACTAGACTATAGACTAGACTATAGACTAGATTATAGACTAGACTATAGACTAGACTAGACTATAGACTAGACTATAGACTAGACTAGACTATAGACTAGACTAGACTAGACTATAGACTAGACTAGACTATAGATAGACTAGACTATAGACTAGACTATAGACTAGACTATAGACTAGACTATAGACTAGACTATAGACTAGACTATAGACTAGACTATAGACTAGACTATAGACTAGACTATAGACTAGACTATAGACTAGACTATAGACTAGACTATAGACTAGACTATAGACTAGACTATAGACTAGACTATAGACTAGACTATAGACTAGACTATAGACTAGACTATAGACTAGACTATAGACTAGACTATAGACTAGACTATAGACTAGACTATAGACTAGACTATAGACTAGACTATAGACTAGACTATAGACTAGACTATAGACTAGACTATAGACTAGACTATAGACTAGACTATAGACTAGACTATAGACTAGACTATAGACTAGACTATAGACTAGACTATAGACTAGACTATAGACTAGACTATAGACTAGACTATAGACTAGACTATAGACTAGACTATAGACTAGACTATAGACTAGACTATAGACTAGACTATAGACTAGACTATAGACTAGACTATAGACTAGACTATAGACTAGACTATAGACTAGACTATAGACTAGACTATAGACTAGACTATAGACTAGACTATAGACTAGACTATAGACTAGACTATAGACTAGACTATAGACTAGACTATAGACTAGACTATAGACTAGACTATAGACTAGACTATAGACTAGACTATAGACTAGACTATAGACTAGACTATAGACTAGACTATAGACTAGACTATAGACTAGACTATAGACTAGACTATAGACTAGACTATAGACTAGACTATAGACTAGACTATAGACTAGACTATAGACTAGACTATAGACTAGACTATAGGCATAGACTATAGACTAGACTATAGACTAGACTATAGACTAGACTATAGACTAGACTATAGACTAGACTATAGACTAGACTATAGACTAGACTATAGACTAGACTATAGACTAGACTATAGACTAGACTATAGACTAGACTATAGACTAGACTATAGACTAGACTATAGACTAGACTATAGACTAGACTATAGACTAGACTATAGACTAGACTATAGACTAGACTATAGACTAGACTATAGACTAGACTAGACTAGACTAGACTAGACTAGACTAGACTAGACTAGACTAGACTATAGACTAGACTAAACTATAGACTAGACTAGACTATAGACTAGACTATAGACTAGACTATAGACTAGACTATAGACTAGGCTATAGACTAGACTAGACTATAGACTAGACTATAGACTAGACTATAGACTAGACTATAGACTAGACTATAGACTAGACTAGACTATAGACTAGATTATAGACTAGACTATAGACTAGACTAGACTAGACTATAGACTAGATTATAGACTAGACTATAGACTAGACTATAGACTAGACTATAGACTAGACTATAGACTAGACTATAGACTAGACTATAGACTAGACTATAGACTAGACTATAGACTAGACTATAGACTAGACTATAGACTAGACTAGACTAGACTAGACTATAGACTAGACTATAGACTAGATAGACTAGGCTATAGACTAGAATATAGACTAGACTATAGACTAGACTATAGACTAGACTATAGACTAGACTATAGACTAGACTATAGACTAGACTATAGACTAGACTATAGACTAGACTATAGACTAGACTATAGACTAGACTATAGACTAGACTATAGACTAGACTATAGATAGACTAGACTAGACTATAGACTAGACTATAGACTAGACTATAGACTAGACTATAGACTAGACTATAGACTAGACTATAGACTAGACTATAGACTAGACTATAGACTAGACTATAGACTAGACTATAGACTAGACTATAGACTAGACTATAGACTAGACTATAGACTAGACTATAGACTAGACTATAGACTAGACTATAGACTAGACTATAGACTAGACTATAGACTAGACTATAGACTAGACTATAGACTAGACTATAGACTAGACTATAGACTAGACTATAGACTAGACTATAGACTAGACTATAGACTAGACTATAGACTAGACTATAGACTAGACTATAGACTAGACTATAGACTAGACTATAGACTAGACTATAGACTAGACTATAGACTAGACTATAGACTAGACTATAGACTAGACTATAGACTAGACTATAGACTAGGCTATAGACTAGACTATAGACTAGACTATAGACTAGACTAGACTATAGACTAGACTATAGACTAGACTAGACTATAGACTAGACTAGACTATAGACTAGACTAGACTATAGACTAGACTATAGACTAGACTATAGACTAGACTATAGACTAGACTATAGACTAGACTATAGACTAGACTATAGACTAGACTATAGACTAGACTATAGACTAGACTATAGACTAGACTATAGACTAGACTATAGACTAGACTATAGACTAGACTATAGACTAGACTATAGACTAGACTATAGACTAGACTATAGACTAGACTATAGACTAGACTATAGACTAGACTAGACTATAGACTAGACTAAGACTAGACTAGACTATAGACTAGACTATAGACTAGACTAGACTATAGACTAGACTAGACTATAGACTAGACTATAGACTAGACTATAGACTAGATAGACTAGACTATAGACTAGACTAGACTATAGACTAGACTATAGACTAGACTATAGACTAGACTATAGACTAGACTATAGACTAGACTATAGACTAGACTATAGACTAGACTATAGACTAGGCTATAGACTAGAATATAGACTAGACTATAGACTAGACTAGACTATAGATAGACTATACTAGACTATAGACTAGACTATAGACT